TTTAAGACTTTAAGAAATTCATACGCCTCCTATGGAATAAAGGATCATTCGAAATACTTAATCAATGTGGAATATTTATCCACATTTTTTTTGTTTTGCTTTTTTAATTTTCAAGCTGGCAATACCTTGACTATAACTTAAATGCTATTCGTTTTCGAAGCAACAAGAGTTAGAATTCGCAAAAATACTATGTTATTCTCCACATATTCACGTATTTGCAGTTAGTCTTATTACTGATGAAAATTCGACGAGAAACATCCTCATCATTATATTAAATGATCTCTATTGTAAATTGGTAAATGGTTAACACAATATGACTTCAATAAGAGTTTTGTTTAATATATTTCACTGAAACATTGCTGTCAAATCAGCATCCCGAAATGTATAACCCTTTTTAATAATTTAGTCATGAGTTCACTGTTTAATTAGTTATAAGTGTTTTTATGCACAATTACATCCTACAATATATACAGAAACTGAGTCAAAATCTTCTGCATTACATCTTCGATAATCTTCGAAAATACTTATACAAAATTATGATTCTTTCAAGTACGATAGTTTCGATGTATTCAAAACAAAAAGCAGATATTAATAATTGCAGGAGAGAAACTGATGAAAAGGAGAAGAAGAATTCTACTGATTATGGGATGTTAGCCGTGTTGCACGAATAAAAAATTTTTTAAAGAAAATCGTAAAATTATTTTGATCATCAATTTGCAATGTTCAGAATTTTTCTACAGAAAGCAAAATATTTATATAAAGTAGCCGGTTGACTGTAAGATAAAGGGGTCTATTAGACATTGGCTTACACGTTAGAAAAATCTTCTTAGAGATACCTAATCTTACATTTGCTTTATCTGCAAATATATAGTCTATAGATTTAGTCTATATTCTTCTATTTTAGGGGTTCTTTCGAGGAATAAAAATCGGTAATTAAGGTACATGGAAAGTTATCTGAAGGTCTGCCATTGCAACCAACTAACCCATCAGACCGATTTCTGATTTATTATTATAGATTTTAATGCAATTGCAATTTAATGCAGATAAAGTCGTTAAATAATGTAAATAAAGTCGCTTACAGTAATAAACTAAACCTGATCCTCGATTTTAATAGCAAAACTAATGATTTTTTTTTAATAATTTTTCATTTTTAATCGCAACATCTTCAGTCAGCCGTGCCTTATATTATTTTTGCGTGGAAACCCAACTCATGATTATTACTTTCTTATTTCTTTAAATATAAAGTTTTTAATTTTGTTCTTTCACTTTGTAGTGTTTATTTGGTATTTCTGTGTTATATACTTTATATCCTAATTTGCCTGAATTGAAAATTTTGTGACTGAGATAAATAAGAAAGTTTATAATAAAAGCAAATTTTTTATGGAACAGTTCTTCTTGTTTCTTAAGTCGCAAATTTCAACAAGAAAATAATTTCTTTATATTATTCCGCTTATATCTGAGAGGGACGTAAACATAATAAAAGTATTGACAAATGAAACGATGAGTAAAGAATCAAAATTAAAAAACTTCTTCAATATACTTTTTATTATTGTTGTTAAACTAAACTTTTTAAATATATTTATTATTCCTGTCTTGCGTACAATTTTTATAATATTTTGGACATTTTTCATTAAAAGCGCGAGCTGTGGGCCGTGTTGAAAACTGGATGTGCGATGTGCTCGATGAGATGCGGCGCTCGAATAGATACATTTCCAAGAAAGCCATCTACGACTTTGGAACTGATCTAAATATAGCAAGGTAAGACAAAAAAATCAAACAATTATTTTTCTTCCTTCGATTAAATGCGACACGCAGATTAAAGTTTGTTTCGTTGGTCGGCTGGAATGAGTGTGGGGATGTTAACTTCGTTTGTTATTCCATTTAGAGCTGCACATAAAAATATTTTATGATATCGAATCGAAACATGGATGAAGTCGATTTTATTGCAATCCATGAATAATTTTGTCGTCGTTGTATGCGATTTATTTTTTTTATTACTGTCAATTTCGTTGTAAACATAATATTAAATCCTCACAAGAGTGCAGTTGAGAGTGGACACATGTCGCAGGAAAGCATTTAAAGTGAGCGTGCCGCACATTTTTTATTGAAATCGAAATAAATCGATGGCAATTTACTTCATTGAGTTTTTAAGTAGCTTATACTTGTCAGTATATTCGTCTTGTTTTGTTCTTTTATTCTTATTTATTCACATTTACTTGCAGAGCGGATTGGCTTATGAACTATCAGGGCATGGTCGGTTTGGCTGGGAGTCAAGTGTGGTGGACGGCAGAGGTTGAGGAAGCATTCGACCAAGCACAGAATCATGGAAATATGCGTGCAATGAAGGACTTTCTAGAAAAGCAGAATTTTCAAATAGAGGAGCTAGTATTGAAAGTGCGTTCGAATCTTACACGTAACGACCGTCTTAAGTTCAAAACTGTCACCACAGTCGATGTTCATGCTCGCGATATTATTGAGCAATTCGTGCGTGATAATATACTTGATGCCTCCGAATTCAGTTGGGAAAGTCAATTGCGTTTTTATTGGTTAAAGTCTCTTGACAATTTATATGTGATACAATGTTCTGGTCAATTCGAATATGGTTACGAATATATGGGCTTAAATGGACGTCTAGTTATAACACCTCTAACTGATCGCATTTATTTGACTATTACCCAAGCGTTGATTATGAATTTAGGTGGTGCACCGGCTGGTCCAGCTGGTACTGGTAAAACTGAAACCACTAAGGATTTGGCTAAAGCAATGGCTTTACTGTGCGTTGTCACCAATTGCGGTGAGGGCATGGACTTCCGCGCTGTTGGTACCATATTCTCTGGCTTGATTCAGTGCGGCGCGTGGGGCTGTTTCGATGAGTTCAACCGAATTGATATATCAGTACTTAGTGTCATTTCCACTCAGCTACAAACTATACGTAGTGCATTGGTGCGCAAATTGGAACGATTTGTTGTAAGTACACATTATTTAAGTATATAAAGTAAATGTATTTTATATTATAGTTTTTTTATCTTTTATCAAACTTCATACATGGGGTAGAATACATAATTTGAAATGCGAGTATGTTTTTAAATCACTTTTATGAATAAAATTTTATGTTACCAATAACAACTGCTTGGGAACTTTTAATATATACTTCAACTTCAAACAAGTAATTTTTTTATTTGACTGAAGAACATAATTCTTTATAAAAAAATTTGATAAATATTCCTTGACAATAGAAAAATTATAAAGAATTCTAAAGTTTATTAGTCATTAATATAAATTATTAGATTAACTATTATAAATTTAAATAAATTGATCTGAGATAACAAAATTAAATTTTAACAAAATTTTCAAATTAAATTTTAATGTTGTAGGAAGAAGAAAAAATTATTTTAAAAATATGAAAGAAAATACGTGCATGTATATTAGGAGGGGTCGATTTGTTCGAGAGATAAATAAATCTTATGCAAAATAATGCTGCTAAGTTCTGGATTTAATTAGGCTTAAATAAAAGACATTTAAGTGATATATAAACAAAAAGATAAAACTGGGCTTTAAATGAATTTTCGATAGCTAAATCTTATATTGAAAAACCGGTAATACTTTTTAAGTGGTTTATGGGACATTATTTTTCGATATCTTTGGCAAATGATATTGGAATTTTATAAGCTTGTGCTAAAAATGTTTGATTCCATTTGATATAACTAAAACCAAAAGATAAATCTATTTTAAATAATGCGTGGACTCTAAATTCACTTTAGATATATGATTTCTCGGTAATTTATACACTTAATGGTTCATAGAATCATGTCTTGGTATATACTTTAAAAGGACACAAATCGATCTGACTTAATATATATAAGTATACATATATACATGTAAAAATTACTTCAAAATTTATGAATGGAATAAGTCTTAATGCTTAATAATTTTAAGTTAATTTAGTTTTGCTTAATTTTAATAATATGAACTTATGTGTATATAAACAATAATTCATAAAAAACTAAAACTCAATTTTTAAAAATAAATTTTCAGTTTGAAGGTGCAGAAATTAAACTTGATCGAAAAGTTGGCATATTTGTTACAATGAATCCCGGCTACGCTGGCAGAACTGAGTTGCCAGAATCCGTTAAAGCACTTTTCCGTCCAGTAACTTGTATTAAGCCGGATTTGGAATTGATTTGCTTAATATCACTTTTTTCTGATGGTTTTCTAACAGCAAAAGTAAGTTCAATTTAACACCAAACCACTTTTTTAATATATTCACACATTAAGAAGGAAGCACATTAAAGCGAAATACGTATCCTTGCTGATATGTTTAATTAAAATCCTTTTTCCTAATATGCCCACACTCTCACATCTATGTATATTTATGAAATAATAATAATATGCTGGTAATATATACAGTACCAAATAGTGTAAATAGTGTATATGTATGTGGAGCAAATGTAACTTCATTAATTTGGAATAGTAAAGAAAACTTCAGTAATTTAAAATAATTTTATTTAATGCTTAAGGTTTTGGCTAAGAAAATGACTGTGCTCTATAAGCTGGCTGAGGAGCAATTATCCAAACAGTGCCATTATGATTGGGGCTTACGTTCATTAAACTCTGTACTACGTATGGCGGGTGTGATGAAACGTAAATCGGAAGAGTTGCCCGAAGCTGTTGTACTTATGCGTGTACTGCGTGATATGAACTTTCCAAAATTTGTGTTTGAAGATGTGCCATTGTTTTTGGGTCTTATTCGAGTAAGTAATACAAAACTATAAAATAAAATTAAAATTTTAATTATAGAACACACTATTATCAATTGTTTATAAAGTTAACTTCAACAGCCTGAAGTTAATATTTTTAAAAATAATTATTTTAAATTAACAAATTATTTTATTTTAGCAAGCATCTTTGTAATTTATTAATAATTTTAGAAATTAGAATCTAAAAATATAACAGGTATTCTATTTTTATACAAAAAAGCATTTCGCAAAAGCAAAATTTACTTATCTTAAATCTATATTCAATTAATTACTTAGTTTAATAATTCAATTTAATTCGGTAAATGAAGATTTCAATTATAACTTCTCAAATATGCTTCATTTCCTAACATTATTACTCAGCTTTAATGTTCCGAGTGTATCTGTCAGTTACCAGCTATCAAGCAAATGTATAATCGAAGGTGGCATATATTTAATTTAAGGTACAAAGTTAGTTTTTAATATGATATGATATTAAACATATATGTTTCAACAGTAATTTATTTTCATACAGTATATTTTAATATATTTCGCTATATTACCATCTATAATTATATATACATGTAGGATTCCTTTTTATTAGAATCAAAACTAATTAATTAAATTACAAAAAAAATATATATAAATGAAAAAAACTGTTTGTTCTTCCGCACACACGTCATTACTTCACACGTCTTCTTTCTGCACTGCCACACTACGTTTGTTTCTTCTTTTTTACTTCCTTATGCTCGTGTGCTGGCGTTGCCAGATCTGCGTCCCACAATCGGCCATCCTGCGATTCGTTCGACCCGAATGAAGTGTCATTGTCAGCAACTGCCCAAGGCTTCATATACTCTGCGCAACTGCTAGTCCGCTTTGACCCTTCGCTTTTTCCGATTTTTATAACATCATACGTATCGTCTGATTTAACTCTCTCGACCTCGTAAGGTCCTAAGTATTTTGGTTTTAGCTTCAGTCCTCCCGAAAACTGCGTCCTTTTGATTGCGACTACGTCGCCTACTTTGTACTTTACGGCTGGCCTGCGTCTTTGGTTATATGCATTCTTATTTTCTAACTGGATTTTCAGTATTTGTTGCTTTGCGCGTTGCCTCATTTCTTCTCGGTCTTCATTAAAAATCGTTGTAATTTCCTCTTCGATAATTTTTTTGATCTGAATATCTTCCTTTGTTTGCATTTTAGCACCAATTAATAATTCAAAAGGCGTCGTTCCAGTACTTCTGCAATACGTGGAGTTTATTATCTGATGCACTTTGTCAACATTTTTATACCATTTAGTTGGATCTGCCATGCTTAATTTTGCCAAAACTGGTGCAATTATGCTATTCAATCTTTCGACTTGTCCGTTGGCCCTGGCTAAGCCCGTAGTAATTTTGATGTGTTTAATACTTTCACCCTCGCAATACTTACGAAAATCATCTGAAGAGAAAGCAGCACCTCGGTCTGATATTATTTGATTAGGATTACCAAAAACTATGCTTTGCGTACGCAATCGGGATATAGCCTCGTTAGCTGATGTGGTTCGAGTTGGATATATCCAACAGAATTTAGTAAAAGAGTCAATAACGACAAAGATATGCTTATATTGTTTGTTCGTTGATTCTAATGGTCCCAAAAAATCAACATGGTACGTGTGTAATGGTATACTTTCTTTAATCAATGAGTGTAGTTCGCCTTCTTGCTTACCCTGCTTCCGATTCACAACGATACATGGAATACAATTCATAATGTGTTTTTGTATTTTTTCTTCCAATTGAGGTATAAAATAGTCATTTCGGAGTAGTTCACTTGTTTTTTTTACGGCAAAATGTCCCTTTTCATGTGCATGTCTAATTATTTCACGCTGCATACTCTTAGGTACAACAATAAGTTCTTGGTCATTTCTCAGCTTATACAACAACTCTCCTTTCTTAAAATAATCGTTGTATGAAGATTTTTCTTGTAGAATATCCGATATCGTTTTCAGGTTTTCGTCTTGCATCTGTGCTCTCCGTATTTTAGAAAGAATATTATCTTCATCTATGCACATAACGGCGTAGCGGCTTAAAGCATCAACATGCTTCATTCGCGAACCAACACGATGCTGAACTTCGTAATCGTACTCCTCTAAGAACAATATCCAACGGGCTACTCTCGTGCACAAGTCTTTCTTTCCCAATGTCATCGCAAATGCGTTACAATCAGTAACGAGCTTAAAATGCATACCCAGAATGTATACTCTAAACTTTTTGAAAGCTTCAATAACAGCCAATATTTCTAGTTCGTAACTTGTATATTTTCTTTGTGCGTCAGTGGTTTTTTTTACTCATATAATACACAGGATGCCATTGTTCGTCGTCTGGTGATTTTTGCAATAAAACGGCTCCATATCCTTCTATCGAAGCATCTGTATGCACTTCCGTTTCAGATTTTTGATTAAAAATGTTTAGTACCGGTTTTTCGCTTAAGATGGTCTTCAACGTATTAAATGCAGTAATCTGTTCATCTTTTATTTCAAATTTCACATTTTGTTTCCTTAAATCTGTTAAAGGCTTGGCAATTAGCGAGAATTTAGGTATGAATTTTCTAAAATAACTCGCCAACCCAAGAAAACTTTCCAATTGTTTTAATGTTTGCGGCAATTTGTATTTGCGTAGAGCTTCAACCTTAACTTCTGACGGTGATATTTTTTGATCTTGTATTGTGTGCCCTAGAAATTCCACTTTTCTCATTAGAAACTTGCATTTTTTAAAATTCAATTCAAGTCCAAAGTCTGCACACCGCTGTAATACAACTTTTAGGTTTTGTACGGCTTGTTCTTCATTTGCTGCGGGTATAATGATATCATCAACGTATGGTAAAGCTATACCTTCATTAGTTAATTCACGAAATATCGCGTTTATATGTCTTTGAAAAACACCTGGTGAGTTCGACAATCCAAATGGCACTCTACAGAATTGATATTGTCCATTATGTGTAACAAATGACGTGTATTTACGACATAATTCTGCCACGGGCACATGGAAAAATCCATTCTTTAAGTCAATTGTACTGAACACCTTACCACTTTGTAGCCGATCGAGTTGGTCTTCTATTAGTGGCAACGGAAAACGGTCTTTCACCAATACTTTATTAATTCTTCTAAAGTCAATACACAAGCGTGGTGTACCGTCGCGTTTTTTTATCAATACAACTGGGCTACTGAATTCTGACTCCGATCGTTCAATTACACCATTTTTCAACCACTGTTCCACTTGCTCATCCACAATGCACCTCTCCGTGAACGGTAATCTACGCGGCCTAGAATAAATGGGTGTTTCGTCTTTGAGCACTATGTACATCGCCACTTGTGTTGTTTTACATTGATTCGGCTGATAATTTATGATCATTTCACGTACCTGTTGTCTCGCATTCTCACTAGCGGTTTTGTCGATATCAATCGTTTTGTTGTCATTTACTAAGTCAATTTTCATTATTTTAGCTTCTTCGTCTATGGGATCGTCTTCGTCGAGGATTTTACGAACGTTTATACCATCACGATTAAATAAAATTTCAGCGTATAAGCATAGTTCTTCGCCAATGATCACTTGTAAGTCCATGCACCGAATTGGAACGACATAAAAATCTAATATGAACTCATTATCGTCAATTTTAATTAAGTTTTTAAAATGTCCAATTGGTTTAATCCTATTTGAATTGCGATCACTACCGAAACCAATTAAACATACGTTACATTTTTCTAAGATAGGCTTATTCAACTTGTTGTATAAGTCTTCGCGAATTATATTAAATTTACTGCCTGTATCGAATAGGGCTGCGCACTGTAAATTGCCAATAAAAATGGATTTGGTAGTTAAATTGTTTTTTTGCTGTAAACTGCGCGTATTTATTTTGTTTTCGGCTTGTTCACAGTTTTTAGAAATATGTCCGTACTGGTTGCACTTAAAGCATTTAGTACCTCGATTTTTATTTTTGCAATTCATGGACAAATGTCCCTTTTCACCACAATTGTAGCATTTCACTTCTGTTTTATTTGTTGAGAAACTTTTCTTTTCGCTTTGTTTAAAATCGTTAACTTGCTTACTTTTTCCACACATTGTTTCATATGATCTTAATTTGTCTTTAAATTCATTAAGGTTCTTTGCACCATATAGTATCATTTTATTTACATAACCGTCTCTAATTCCATCTATTATATACTGAATCAGCGCTTCGTCTTCGATATTGCCGCGAGATGCGATATCTTTCATTTGATAAAAATATTCAAACACATTTTCATCTTTTTTTATTTTGCGAGCACTAAGTTGCTTATGCAATTGTGCGCTATTTGTCGTTGTTCGAAACTCATTTAACAGGGCGTGTTTTAAAGCACACCACGAATTTAAACCTCTTTCACTAAAAATAAAAAGTTTAGCAATGCCTCTAAGAGATTTTTTTGCAAACACTAGTTTTTGAAACCCATCCCAACACATCAGTGCAGCTTGTTCCTCGAATTCTTCAATCCACCTTTCTACCGAAATGATATTTGTGCCATCAAATGGTCTAATTGAGTCCTCTATATCGCGAAAGTTCATTGCAAATTTTGGTGCTTCTCTTTGTAAAAATTTTGTACGTGTGTACGCTGCTGCTTTATTATTATCATCCACTTCAAACATTTTATTGCCATTATCGTCATGAGATTTTTTAAACTCGCGTTCATTGCCTCTGAAAGTGCGTTTACTGTCAACGTCATCATCGACTTCTTCATCTCCTTCTTCGTCATCATCATCATCGACTTCTTCATCTCCTTCTTCGTCATTACATTCATCGTCGTTTGCGTTTTCGGACAACAAAAAATTTTTACGTAGATTTCGAAATATGTGCAGTTGTACATCTTTAACACAATAACTTATATTTAGTACAATACAAATTGAAACCAAATCACGTTCAGTCAAATTATTTTTAATATATTCGCATTTGCTTGCATACGCCTTGTCATTTTCGTCGTAATCGAATCCAGAAAATTCTCTCAATCTCTTTCGATTATTTCTATCACCTTCTTCTTGGTATATAAATTTATGCAACGCTATTATTATGTTTTTGCTGCTACTGCGCAGGCTGCTGCTTACGAAGT